AGTGGACATAATGCCAACGAACGCTTAGTTGCTCGACAAAATGGCAATTGATTGATCAAATCACTCAGTCAGACTGTGCCTCGTACCGTCGAGGAATAAAGTTTATGTAGTTATATTTATTTAATTATCAAACTGCTTGTATTCAATACAACTTCAATGTGACCGCTGACTGCGTTGACCAGAATCCGTGCAGGTAAATAGAAATGCCGGTGACTGGGGTTGATTACTGACGTGCAAGTTTGCTCTCTGAATTAAGTGGCGGATATCTCATCACTAGTCGATATGGCATTCAGTGCTTAACTGTTAATAGCTCACTGGCAAATATTGAGCATTAAAAAAACCCAGCAACGGGTGCAAAACTTTAAATACATTTCATATGGATTGGCTGTCTCTTGGGTTACTTGAGAATATAGCTGAATGGTTTCCATTGGTTGAGATGCTGCGACGTATGTTGGATCCTCACAATACAATTAATGCGGCTACACAAGATGCTTTATTGGCTGTTCAGTAGGTGGTTTGTATCGCCACAAGCTGCGGATTCCAATACGTACACGATTATTCTTCTTCTCGCTATTGGCACACGAAGTCGAAAGTAACGCGTAGTTTCATTGATTCCTCTGTCGAGGCCTAAGCGCCGAGGAGTTCGCTTCATGTTCTTATCGCTCTTTCCATCAGAAGTTCCTTATTAGCGCCGTTAGATCTATGTCCTTCTTTGTTAATGTCCACTGTGATAGAAAGTGATGCGTAGTGGAATTTTTGGGATCGTTTGTGTTTTTGTAGTATCGTGGATAAGCTCCATCTCCACAATTTTGACCCTAATCTGTAGGGGAGATTTTGTCATTTGCACCCTTCGATATTCCTTCTTGTTTAGACAAAGTCTTTCCATGTAGGGGTGGCCATCCTCGCGGTATACTCAGCCCGCGTGTAACCGGTGGTAGCGCACGGCAGCGAAGCGCCGTTACGGCGTACAGCTGACATATTATTATTATTACTAAAGACAAGGTTTTATTCAAAAAGGACATCTGCCTGTGAATCATCATCAGGTGATGTAATCTGAAGAGTCTGGCCGTCGAAAGTCAAGTCATCAATCGTAGTTCGGTACAATGTACCGACGCTTCGCTGCCATGTGACCAGCACCGGTCGCGCCTGGACTAAATATAAAGCGAGGACGCCCGCCCCTACGCGGATTCGAACCTATGACTTAGGGATTGCGATCCAGGCGTGCAATCCTTTCGTCCACCGGTTGACTGGGCGTCAGAACTGATACATTCATTATACACGGCAAGTAAGTACCTTTCGTCGTCATTGTTATCGTTGTTGTAGGCGTGGTGACAAAAGCCTGCGATTGAGGCATTTTCAGACGAAGCTATGTGAGCTTGTGGGGAAACAAAAAATCATGAATGGATCATGAAAAAATAAGGACATTCATTAGATTACCCGACCAAGTCTGAGAATTGGCCAGAAGTGAAGGTGGAAAGTGAATCCGTAAGAATGGCAGAATGTCAGTGCCAATGAGATCACGAGCGTGTTCCAACAGGTCACTCGACACACTGGCCCTAGGTATCAGATTGGTCAGCTGAAGCACTTGAAGCTAACCCGGACACTGACGTACCAACTTTCACAAAGCCGACTTGATTAAGTACTATTGAATCGGATCTAGGAGTCTGACCTTAAGGACGTTCCAGTCTTTGCTGAAGGACGATGCAACCCCACTAGTAACTACCGGACACAATTTGATTCAAGGAGAAAGTAGCTTCTGATTGCTGGTTACTAACCGTTATTACCATCTTCATATGAAAACCGTCGTTGTGTCGGTTTCATCCAATGATGCTACTGCTTAGGCCTTCCAGTCTCCTTATGGCCCTTGTGCATTTTCATCCTCAGCGTTCCGTTCCAGCTTCACTTTTATTCCCTCGGACCTCAACCTCGCAATTCCTGGCCCACCTCTAGCTTGCTTTGATAGTCGCCCATCTACTAGTTTCGACTCATACCGGAAAGCTTGGTGGTCTCATAATGTATCGGAAACAGAAATGACCGTTGTCCTTGGTATCCATCGGAAGTTATTCCGTCTGATATGGGAAACGTATAGTAGGAGACCTGGTGTTAGCGGAACTATATGAGACGAGACTAGACAGGCAATCTGCAACTTGTTAGAGCACTTACAGCGTTGAGCCGGACACTTTGAAAATCAGTTTAATCAGCTATAGTTACCAGTTTCCTAAGCCGCCATTAATCGCCCTTCTCCCCGGGCGATCCCCTTGGACCCGCACTAATGCGCAGAAGTCGAAGGTACAATCAAACTGTAGAAATTGATTAAGACCGCAGGGGCAGATAGAATTGCTTCAATTCTCATCAAATTCGGTGGACATGCTTTCGTGGATGATTTGCATGTTACCAGTGAAGCTTGTGAGAGCAGGACACTGTCCCAACAGAATGGAGCGGATAGGTTACAACACCGATTTTTAAGGGAGGCTCACGTTCAGAATGCGGTTATCATAGAGAGATCAGTCCGAATTCAATTGCTTATTTTCCTCTGTTGTCCACTGACTGGCATTCGCGAAAGATCCGCGAACATCAATTTGAGTCTCGTCGAAGTCGGAGATGTATTGATCACATCTTCACCTTAGATCAACTGTTGGAACACCGCCAAATTTATTGACGACCCACTGTAATCGTGTTCCTCGGTATCGAAAAAGTCTTTCATTCGGCGGATCGATATACCTTTTGAGGCTATATTCTCGGGAAAATGCGCCCGGTAACTGTAAATAGCACAAAAGCGTTGCACGCGCGTAATTAGGGCAGAGTGAAGGTTTACGGCAAACTGTCGCCGGCCCTCAGTATATCCAGCGGAGTGTGAAACAACATTTCCCGCCGTCAATCATTTCGGGATATGTTTCGCACTCTTAGAATGCAGGGGCTCAAGCAGAAATCGTATAGATATTAAAATATTTTGGCAGCTTTATTAGCGCCCTTGGGATCGAGAATGAGGTCGCGAACCGTAAAGCAAAAGGCCGAGGCACTTTCGCTACTCTCTGCCACATGTGGCGTCCGAAGAACATCAATCTCGCTCTGAAAGGCAGTGTTGTGCATTCAACCCTTCTGTACGGATGCGAAACCCGGCCCAACAGACGCGAAGAGGCTATTAAGGTTCGATCATCGCTGCCTTCGCAGCATAGCTCATGTCTGATGTGAACACCGCGGGAGCAATGAGCGTGTTTGGCGTCTCGTATTTGGTGCAGGAAGGGCACGTGGACCGCTCGGCACCATTGTTTCACGCACGAAAATCCGACGGTTGAGCCACGTGTTGTGAATGCCAGCACACCGACTCACGCAACAAGCGTTGTTTGCACGACCGGGGGTGTGAATGGAACAAGAGCAGGGGAGGCCAAGACTGTCAAAAGGGATGAAGAAACCACTTTGAACTTAGCGTCGGCTGGCGTCGCCTGACTGCCAAACTGGATCTCAAGGACATTGAACATGTTTGGTTGGATGCGCCTGTTGACATGGAAAACCGCCGACCTCAATGCTGCTCGTGGTGTGAGCATCTTTGTTCCTCCCCTTCCCACTCCAATCACAGTCTCACATCAGATGCATACGACGACACTGTCTTAAGCCGGCCAGCCTGACGAGTATCGGTGCGTGGATCAGATTGGAAAGTGAAAACCGACTCCCATTGTCAACACTATGGGCTTATCCGTCAATGTCATGACGCACAAAGGAACATCTGGACTATTCCCACTGTGACTGAACCATCTGAGGTGACATCACGAACTGTTACTATAATGACATCATGGCTCAAGGCTCGGGTAACGCGGTTATCGCCTCTGTTAGCTATAAAACCCCACCCCAATTGCACAGTGATTCACCGGGTCTGACGAAGCCCTTGTGTCGAGAGCGAAACGTTACCAAACTACTATACCAACCATGTGTTTCCAAACCTCTCTGAACTCATGACTACTCGATCGGTTCCAAGTATCTTCCAAGAATTTGAAGCCGTATATTACCTTTTTTGGTTTTCATTTTGTATTCTGTAGTGCATAGTACAATGAAACCTGTATAAGACGACCACTCAAGGGACCGACGAAAAGTGGTCGTCATGGACAGGTTTATGTAAAGGGACATTAGTCATGGAAGAAAACGTTGGGGATGATTTTGGCTGGTCGCCATAGACAGGCGGCCGTCATAGTAGGTATCTCGTTTTTCATTTATCTTTTCGTATTGAGGCACAATAGCTGAGGTGTTTCTCACATTTAGAGAACGTTTAATGATGAGTATCGTGTATACTTCAAAGGACGGTATTCACTTCGCTACAAAGTCAGAAATGGGCATGTTGGTTACCAGGAAATGGTGGGCGGAGAACCATAAACATCAATTTAAAACAACGATAATTAAATCGAGGAAATGCAAATTTTTGCAAAATATCCGTAAACTGTCTCGAGTTTACAGAATAGTCACAGTGCAGTAAGCTGAAGACAGCAGTAGTATCGGCGCTTCGCTGCCACGCGATCACCACCAGCCGCAGGTAGTTTGGGTACACTGCGAGGCCGCTGAGAGATTCGAACAAGTGACCTTTGGATTACAAGGTACGCGTCTTATCCCTTCGGACTAGTGAAGTACTGGGGGAACGTACCTGAAAGAAGGAACACTTGGCGGTGTCCTACATGCGCGACAAGACTACAATTACTGCAACTATAGTAGCGACGACGAAACGGATCAAGTTGTCGCATGTGCATAACGCATAAGACCTGACAGCCAGATTCCTCACACCGCACTACCTGACGGTGGCTCACAGACTATCGGCCACTCTGAAGAGATTGTCTAAACCAAAAAAGCGGAATAAAGCGAACGATGAAATGGCTCACATAAGGCAGAGTACCAAAACTGTGACGGAGTAAATTGTTTAACGGAAAATTGGAATCCGCCTTGTAGGTCGTTAATGACGTATGGAAATTTAACCGATAGGAATAAGTAAACCGACTGTTCGGAAAGTAATAGCTCACCAGAAGCGCGCGGTGAACGATACACGTCCGATGTTTACAAAATGGGACGTCACGTTGTGTACTAGTATTTGTGGGGGTGGTCCAAGGAGGGCTTCGTGCGATTCCAGATGATAATGTGCACAATTCGTTCGACAAATTATCTGATTCTTTGTAACAGTGTTGAAGTGAAGGAAGAGAGTGGGAAGAGCTGTTTTGGATAGCCGACTCAAGGGCTATCAGGCGTTCAAACAGATCTTCGCTTTTGCTGCAGAGTGATTTAGAAGTGTTCGTCGCAAAAGGCCGTCCCTTCTGACCTACTGACGCTGTACAATCTTCTGACGTCGAATGCGTACTCGTCAGAGCGGAAGGCAATAGTACATCACAGTTCCAATCGGCCGATTTAAACTTGATGCACTTTAGGTGTTTCCGTCCCTTCAGATGATCCGACAGTTGAAGTTGTGATGAACATTCTAAGTTACACGGAATGCACTTGAAGGTACCGCTAGCCATCTCATTTGCAGTGGCAGTTGAAGAAGCAAGTAAAGCCTTTTTACGGTGTTTTACACCAGATAAATGTAGATTCAACTCGTCTGATGAGCAGAAATGTTTGTCGCATATGGAGCAGGAAGTAGGTTCTGAAAGTGAGGAGAATGATGGGGGTAAGAAACAAGTACCTTGGTGATTAGATCGCTTACGGTGCAGTGCGCCTTGCAAATGTTGTGAGTATGGAATACGCCCACAGCAGGTCACTTTGCAGATCAGACATGTGATAAGCTCTCCATAAGGTGTGACTGATACACTATATGTATCTAAACTGTCTAGAGAAACCATTCCTGCATCATACAACGCTTGAGGCTGCATCGGATGTGACTCAATCTGAAGCTGGTTGACCGCCCAAGTGAGAGGGTCGCAATCACTGTTGCCGTGGCACGCAAAGCCAGACATGACAAAGGCTGAAAAGTACAGAAGAGTCTCCATAAATAAAATGTGACAAAGAGTATGGAATAAGACAGTAGCTGTGCTATGGTCATGATGGTAACTTAAGACACAGGATAATGTTGCAATACTCGGGAGATGGACTGACAGACGCTGGGAAATGACAAATGAAGTTCCGCGCAAAAACCCGTACACCACCCGAAAATATTTAATGAGACAGTCCAGAGCTGGTTTATACTATTAGTCAACAAAAATAAGGTAGGAAACTAAGTGCAACAATAGTTGAATCTCAAACTCTATCAGTGGAGTGGTTTGCAAAGCAAATTCACTAAATGTGGAACAGATTTGATCCATCGCAGAGGAGCAGCAAAACCTGAAGACGGAGAAGTCAAAAATGATAGCAACTGTGCAAGCGTGGACTATAAGTGGAGACGGGTGACGAGTGGTCAAACGGTTCAACTTACAAAGTGCAGGAACCAAATTCAAACAGTGGTAAACATACAACGCGGGATGTAACTTGCAGGAGACAGAGGCAGTGAGTGGAAGAAAGAAACGATGTTGAGGAGAAAAGGAGCGAGAGGGATGTAGGGTGAGCACAAAGAGCTGATACACACGTGAAAAACAGCATGATGGGTGTAGGCAGTGGACATGGGCTAAGAATTACCAAGCTAAGCAGGAAGATAAACTGCGACGGGACAGAACTGACAAAAAGTGATAAAAACACTACCGCAGGTGATAGTCAAAAACTAGAGTGCCCCGCTAAAGACAATCCGGAACATGCAGGTGCTCACTGCATGAAGTGGTCGTTTTTTGACTGATCAGACGGCCGGTTATCGATCGGAAAGTTGAGGTCACTGGCGCCCTACAGGAAAGAGAAAACGTCGGTCTAGGACGAGTAGATGGAAAAAGAATTATATTAGCTAGTCACATTGTCCATTATAAAGACCAAATCGAACATTCGGGAAGGGTAGATAAAACTCTGTTGGGAACGAGCAGTAGGGTCAAGCTAAGACTAATCCAGCAATATCGCTTTTCTGTGTACTGGCTAGTTCACTCAGCTGACTATAAGTTCGTCCAATATATGCGGAACAGTCCGGCTCACCTGTCATGCTTTAGCTTCGTATCGGCGATTGGTACCTCGGTCTCTCACCTAGAGATTTCCTTCCTAACAGTGTATTTTTATTACCCGGGCAAAAGCACAATGCAAGTACAACGCGAAGAAGACCGTAAAATACAGTAGATAAGATGACATTTATTGGACTCACGTCCGCATGCGAAGGGCTCTTCCAGAATCCGAATGACAACCTAGGTAAAGCCATAAACTAAAAATATGGAAAATATGAGAAACTGTGTCAGTAATGAAAGAACCAGCCGCGATTATTCCCATAGAGGACACCTAATAAAAGGGTCTACACCAGGCAGAATTTAAGTAGAGCCGAAAGAAGCTGCTATATGCTAGTAAAAGCACAGAATTGATCCGTGTGTAAACGTACGAGTTTCGGAGGCTGATATTCCTATATGCAAGTGTGGAAGAAGTGGACGACTGAACACCCTAGTTTTCGCTAGATGTTTGCAGCGATCATCTTAAGCGTTTCAAATTCAAGAATTCTAACCTTAAGAAAATCACATGCATGAAAACAGGAGCATTAGGAAACTTCGCACTATAAAAGCTTATCGAGAAAGTCAAAAATGTGTGGATTCTAAAAGGGAGATACCTACTAGAAAACGAAAAACTATGTAGCACTGATCTCGCATAGTCTTGAATCATCATCATTATCATAATTATACACCTTAGCTAGAGGTGGGAAACACCTCAGCTAATGTGCATCAATACATAAAGGAAAATAAATACAACAGTTGCATGCCAGCTGAGCTACCAGCAACGAATAGGCAACGTTCCGATAAGCTACCAGCCGGCTACTAGGCAAAAAGAAAAATTATTAGGTTGTACGCTATGAAATGAGATCGTAGGTGGAGAGGGGAGGCTAAAAGGGATGGGGAGGGACAAAGAAACTCACAGCAGGAACGCCACTGAGGTCGGCTCCTTGCCATGTCAGCAAGTGTATCCAGCCAAACGTGTTCACCGTCTTTTGGACCCCAACCAGGGAGCCATGAAGATCCAACCGAGGCCAACTCAGAAGTGAGGGCCTTCATTCCTCTTGACCAAGTCATCGCTTGGCTACCCCTCCTCTTCTTCCATCCACATCCTTGGTGAGCAAACAATGCACATCGCAGAAGTCGGTGGGCTGGCATGCGCAAAACGAGGCCCAGCCATCGGAGCCTGCTGCGTGAAATGACGCTGCTGACCGGTTCATTTCCTTTTCCTGTGCCGTAAACAAGGCGTCGAACACGCTCGTTACTCACGCGGTGTTCCCACCAGATGTGAGCCAAACTGCGGAGGCACCGATGGTCGAACGTAACTAGCCTCCTTATGTCCGCCGATCTTAGGGGTCAGGTTTCGCAACCGTACAGTGAGGTCGAACGTACCGCTGCATTGTACACTACCCTTCAGGGCGAGAGTAATGTCGCGCCGCCGCCATAGGTGGCGAAGGTTAGCAAAAGCACTTCGAGCTTTTGCTATACGGTTCGTGATCTCGTCTTCGATCCCAAGGGCGTTGATACAACTTCCCAGGACGTTGAATTTCTCAAGGACTTCTAGCAGATCCTCACCAAGGGTCAGCGCAGGAGGTGATCCCTGCCAATCTCGGAGGAACACTTTGCATTTCGATGGTGCAAAGCAAAGCCCGAAGCGGCTGACAGCCAGTGCTTATCTGTCCAGCGCGGCTTGGCACTTCTGGGAGCTGTCACAGATGAGGGCAATGCCGTCTGCATACTCCAAGTCGAGAAGTCCTTCTGGGAGTAGTTCCACACTTCCAAGTCATGTAAACGCGATCTCCATGACTTCGTCAATAGCGAAGTTAAAGAGGATAGGTGACAACGGGCATCCATGTCTCACACCGCTGGAGATATTGTAGGGTGGCGACAGCTTGCCGTAAGCCCTCACTCTGCCTGTGCTACGCGCGTATAAGGCTCGGATAATATTTACATATTTCTCGGGCAGATGTCAATGCTCTCACAGGGTCGTCGTGGGCGTCCGCCAAAACGCATCCGCATATCAGCACATACAACTGCATGATCGATGTCCACACATGTGCTCCAAATCGAGCGACAGTTCTGGATGCAACCTCTCCAGCGGTAACTAATAGCAATGTGATCGATCTGCGTCCAAGGCTGGTTCGAGGATGGTGGGCGCCAAGTCACACTTCGGCGAGTGCTGTGTCGGAAGTTAGTGTTCGCAAGAAATAAGCGAGCATCTTCACACAAATGAAGTAACCGCTCACCGTTATCATTACGGCAGCCTACACCGTGCTGACCAGCCAGATGCATTTCATCAGTGAACAACTTTCCAACTTGTGCGTTCAGATCCCCCGCCAGCACAACAGTGTCTGCGCTTCTTCCGTGGCGAAGCAGCTGGGTCAGTCGGCAGTAGAAGTCGTTCTTTACCGAAGCATCGCTACAGTTCGTGGGCGCGTAGACAGCGATGATGAATAGACACCTGTTAGTCCCGCGCGACTTCGAAGCTTTGAACGAGCCAGCCAACCGGACCGCACACATCCGGCTACTGATTAGAATCCAATCAACCAGAGCAGCTTCAGCCCGGAGACTCAGGGCAATGCCAACACCAGCTTGGCCGGTGCTCGAAGCTGCATCATCATCAGATAGGCGCAATGAGAAAATAGTGCTTACGTCACCTGAAGGGGATCGCAGAGTGAGCACAGAGCTCGAGTCTTGCAGGCGGGTCTCCGATAAGCAGCAATATCGATCGAGAGGGTCTCCAATGTTCGGGAAAGTGCTACGTGTTGACCGATCTGTAGCAATGTGCGTACATTGAGGTATGCCAAAGTCTTGAAAACAGAAGTATATTCAGAGGATAACTGGCAAAATGTGGGAAACTGTTCGTGTCATGCATGTTGGCGTAAACAGTTTAGTTAGGTTGGTAAGCCAAGATCCACACGCGGTGGAGCGAGCTGAGTTGACTAGCGTCGCCAAAAGAGTAGTGACAACAGTAAGTTAAGAGGATTGACTAAGAAATACAAGGCAAAATCAACTGCCAGTGTGGCTACGGAAAATAATATGGGAACGAATGAAGGCTGTTACCGATTTTATGGTGATGTCATATCTGACACAGTATTTAACTAATAATGTGTCGGATCCCGAGGTCCCTATTCACGTAGGTAACAAATCCTACCTGACTAAGCCTTTCAGTGGATTTCCTAAAATGCAACTGACATCGCTGGCCACTTGGGAACTTCATATGAATAACTACAATAATGATAGGTAATAAATACCAAAACAGTCCGCCAGCTGGTATGCACAGTACAAGAAACAATTCGATTTCGAAATGAAATGCAACGAAGCGCCAAAGGGTCTGTCGTTAAATATTAAATGACGAACTACGGTGCGTGTACCCGGTTCTCGCGCCACAAGAGCGAAGAGCCACACATTAGTCCATTCAGCAATGCGTGCATAGACACTGGGTATGGCCAAAAGGCAACTGCCGTCGGTCACGTGATAGAACCCCTATCCCAGAAGAAGTAGGGGGCAAGATAAAGTCAAATCCGATCATCCTAACAACAAAGCTAGAGAAAAATGGAAGGCGTAGGAAACTCGACGTACTCCGCTTGTCGTGGCGAACTCAGAGGGGTCCTTCGTGGACCCTAACATGGTCCTAAGAGCGGGACTGTGTTGTCCATAGGTCTATGTGACGTACATAAATTCCAACAGAAGCAGAAACAAATCTGATGTGTTGAAATGAAGGGATACAAGGTTATAATGGTTATCACTTAACAAACGGTAAGACTTGGTGGGTCAAGATCAAAACCCGCGAGGACGAAAAAAATACGTCACAAGAACGCAGCTGGTGAACTCCAAAACTTGTACCGGTGCTGTAACAAGATAAGCAATGACTATGGTCATGAAATACAGATGCGAACCAGTTCTAACAACAGTATGACTGGGTGCTGATAGATGGAATACACGCGGACAAAAGTGACTACTGAAACTGGTGGTCTAAGACAATGCTGAATAGAAAATTGAGCCAGATTACTAGACCATTAGTATGAAGAAACGCAGAGGGAAAATAACATATGAGAAAGCACGGATTGAAAGGGTGTGGTGCCGCTGGAGACAAATTCAGCCGCCTTTATGAAAAGATCATAGTGTAATACATCGAAATCCCAGGGGACAAGTAGTGACCAGCGTTGTATAGCGCAAGGCCGAGTAAAACGTCAATGCAGCAGGTTAGTCAAAAAACAAGGCAATCAGAAATAGACATTAGAGCTGGGCTAGCATTAGAAAGCCAAAACAACGCAGACAAACGCTATCAAAGCTGAAAACTACCCCCACAGAAACTCGCAATCATACCGCTGATAAGTGTTCAGTGGAAACAGATGAGTCATAGTGAACAGCTGAATCGACCGGCGGCTTCGTGCACCGAGCGCATGAATTGTTGGGTGAACTTAGGGTGATTGAATCGGAAGCAACACGTTTGCGAATGACTGTGATAGTAGCAGTGGCTTAAGAAAAGTGCAACACTCACCGATTGAAGGGTCTCAGTAACTAGAGATGTACTGGACGTATTTGCACAGTAAGATTTACATGAACAGATTATATTGATGGTTGCACTGCGCAGCCCGAAAGAGTAAAACAAAAAGTAACGTTCAATGAAGGTGGATGGTAGTGGATTAGTGTCCAGTGTGACATTCTTTCTGCGCGTAGACACAGGGGGGAAATGTCAACAATGTACCGTGGCGCCACTGATGTCTCAGAGAATTAAGTGCCGTTCTGAGGGCAAGACTGCACGCGGATCCAAACGCCCATTTAGCTGGGAGACAGAAAGAGCGCAAAATCTGGTAAATCAAATGTAGGAAAATTAATGCAAACAAACACTTAGCGAAGGGATTGTCGGGGCGTGAGACGACGCGCTGTCCTATGAACCGCACTGCCATTCCCATGCAAATGCAGATCAGTGGGGGAGGAGCACAAAGGCCGGAAAGCGTATTGCACCTGCGCTCGCAGTTGTTGGAGTGCTTATCCTTGCTAGCTTCCAAAACGGAAAGTGGGAGGCTCTCTTATCCATGAGAGTATCAAAAACCCAATAATTTAGAGGTGATCAGGTAGAAGCCATTCGGAGATATAGATATCTAGGTAGCTAAATTAGCCCCAATGGGGTCGTAGATGACATCAGGAACCGTTTAGCAA